TCAGAGAAACGGAACTGGAAAAAGAGAAAAGAAAATGTAGAATGAAAAACAGAGAAAGAGGTCATTAAGAAAGAGAGAGGGAATGTATAAGGTAAAACAGTAAAAGAGAAGAGGAAGGAAGAGAGTTTGAAAATTAGAAAGAAAAAGGAAATATATAGCAAAATACAGGGAAAAAGAAAAGGTAGAAAGAGAGAGAGGAAATATAGAAAAAAAAACAGAGAACGAGAACAGGTAGAAGGAGAAAAGGATATGAAGAATGAAAAAGAAAGAAAGATAACAGTAAGAAAGAGAGGGTAAATATAGAATGAAAGAGAAGAGGCAGAAAAAGAGAGAAAGTATAAAAAGGAAAATAAAATACAGAATTAAAGACTGAAAAATGTGAAAAGATAATAGAAAGAAAGTGAAAAGAACTATAGAATGAAATACAGAAAATATGTAACCATAGAAAAGGAATATGGCGAAAGAGAAAATGAAATATAAAAATATTGATAGTGAAAAGAAGATAGAATGAAAGAAATGAAAGAAAAGAAAGAAATAATAGACGTGAAAGGAGAAAGAAAAAGTAAAACGCACTGAAGGAGAAAGAAAAAATTAGAAAGAAAGGCACTGAAGGAGAAAGAAAAAATTAGAAAGAAAGGCACTGAAGGGGACAGAAAAATTAGAAAGAAAGGCACTGAAGGAGACAGAAAAAGTAGAAAGAAAGGCACTGAAGGAGACAGAAAAAGTAGAAAGAAAGGAACTGAAGGAGAAAGAAAAAGTAGAAAGAAAGGCACTGAAGGAGACAGAAAAAATTAGAAAGAAAGGCACTGAAGGAGAAAGAAAAAATTAGAAAGAAAGACACTGAAGGCGACAGAAAAATTAGAAAGAAAGGCACTGAAGGAGACAGAAAAAGTAGAAAGAAAGGCACTGAAGGAGACAGAAAAAATTAGAAAGAAAGGCACTGAAGGAGAAAGAAGAATTAGAAAGAAAGGCACTGAAGGAGAAAGAAAAAATTAGAAAGAAAGACACTGAAGGAGACAGAAAAAATAGAAAGAAAGGCACTGAAGGAGACAGAAAAATTAGAAAGAAAGGCACTGAAGGTGAAAGAAAAATTAGAAAGAAAGGCACTGAAGGAGAAAGAAAAAAGTAGAAAGAAAGGCACTGAAGGAGACAGAAAAAGTAGAAAGAAAGGCACTGAAGGAGACAGAAAAAATTAGAAAGAAAGGCACTGAAGGAGAAAGAAAAATTAGAAAGAAAGGCACTGAAGGAGACAGAAAAAATTAGAAAGAAAGGCACTGAAGGAGAAAGAAAAATTAGAAAGAAAGGCACTGAAGGAGAAAGAAAAATTAGAAAGAAAGGCACTGAAGGAGAAAGAAAAAAGTAGAAAGAAAGACACTGAAGGAGACAGAAAAAATAGAAAGAAAGGCACTGAACGAGACAGAAAAAATTAGAAAGAAAGGCACTGAAGGAGAAAGAAAAATTAGAAAGAAAGGCACTGAAGGAGAAAGAAAAATTAGAAAGAAAGGCACTGAAGGAGAAAGAAAAAAGTAGAAAGAAAGGCACTGAAGGAGACAGAAAAAGTAGAAAGAAAGGCACTGAAGGAGACAGAAAAATTAGAAAGAAAGGCACTGAAGGAGAAAGAAAAATTAGAAAGAAAGGCACTGAAGGAGACAGAAAAAATTAGAAAGAAAGGCACTGAAGGATAAAGAAAAATTAGAAAGAAAGGCACTGAAGGGGACAGAAAAAATTAGAAAGAAAGGTACTGAAGAGGACAGAAAAATTAGAAAGAAAGGCACTGAAGGAGACAGAAAATATTGAATAAAAAGTCAAGATAATGAGACGGAAAGATTAAGAGAGGTGGTAAAAATAAAGAAAAAAAATCGGTGACAAAAGGAATGAAAGTGAAAGCAAGCTGTTTCCCTGCTTTAGATGTTTTCTTTCGAGAGGTGCAACATTCCGCGTTCCCTTGAAGAAGTCTTCGCACTGATGACTAACATCCTAATCTCCGGAGAACCCCTGCTGCTTTTCCACTATTCCTTTTCCTTACACCCCTTCAATCTTTTACTTTACTCTTCTTCTCTACTCAAACCTTGCGGCTTATTTAAAATTTTCTTTCATGATCATTGCTGCCAACTGCTGCATACAGAAAGGTGCATATCTGGCCTTAGCTTTGTTATGCTGGTTTGAAATCTTAAAAGAGATTGGCAGGTAGGGGCAAAGAATTAGACGAATTGGAAGACAGACAGACGCGGAGACAAGGAGACATACGGAAACGGAAAAAAGCTGGGAGAGAAAAACAATATTGAAGGGGAAGAGTTTACTTGTAATAATAATAAAAGAAATAATACCCATAAATTGCAAAGTGCATCTATCTATCTATCTATCTATCTATCTATCTATCTATCACGTTGTTCATATCTATCTATCTATCTATCTATCTATCTATCTATCTATCTATCTATCTATCTATCACGTTGTTCATATCTATCTATCTATCTATCTATCTATCTATCTATCTATCTATCTATCTTAGCCAGGCTAATACTATCTATCTAGCTAGCTAGAGACTAGTCTGAATATTCGAGAAATCTTAAAGAAAAATGAGTTCTCTGGTAGGCTTGCATTGTTATATATTGCAGTTTAACAATGAAATATTGTAAAATCAATCACCTTAGCTAGTCTAATTAATTTCTATCTATCTATCTATCTATCTATCTATCTATCTATCTATCTATATTCGTTTGGAATGATCAGTGTCCATCTCGTCACATCTATACTTACAAATACACAGGGTATCGGCTCATTCCGATAGACTCATTGAAGGGATTATTTGTAGCCAATTCATGAAAGAAATAAGAAAAATTGTAATCACATGTACAGCTCACACATTAGGCAAACCTTTATCTATGTAAAATGTATGTGATCTTAAGTTTTTTTTTAATTTTTTTTTTATTACAATAAGGATCAGTGTAAAATGTCATGAAACCACATCTGACCTTAGGTTTCTGGTTGGGACCAGGAACGATAATATATGTACAACAGAAATCAAAGGAAATAATAATAATTGAATCCTTCATCATAAAATCAACAACCTTCTACAACATAAACTAACAATTCGGCCATATTGTACTTGTTGTATTCTGTAATAAAAACATGTCTATGTATCTGAAAAGTACACATCATTTAAGATAGCACAATCGAAAATAGTTAACAGTTTTACTGAAGCGAATAGTCATCTGGGTAATAATGAAAAATGGAATTCGAATTGAGAAATACGATGTCGCAAGAATTACTTGAAATAATATAAAGAAGGAAGATTTTTTTTTTTGAAATAGTCAAGTAAGGAAGCGTTATTAGTAATTGAGAAATAATGAATAGTTTCTTGAAATAGGGAAACAAGAAATTAATTGAAGTCGGGAAACAAGCCAAATGCCTTGTAATATAGAATTTCGGGAGAATTACTTGAATAGTTGAAAATGGAGGAATTGATTGGAAGTGTGAGATAAGACGTATTACTTGGAATTTGAAAACGTAATGATCGAAATAGAGAAGAGAGAAATAGGGAAAATGATTGGAAAACAGAAACAGAATAAAAGCAATTCTGAAATTGGACAAAGTGCCAATAGGGGGCCCTAGGGTAATTCAGCCAGGTTTTTCTATGGAAACGGTAATAAGACTTCTTTGACAACATTTCAATGTTCCCCCTTTCTCTTAAACTGAAACAGACTTCTCAATTCAGTAGCCACATCTTGTCCTAGAAGTTGTTGTCATAGCCGTTCACCCTGCAAGAACAAGAGCTACATGGAAATCGTTGATGTAACTATTAAACGCATCATCATTATAATTATCAAGAAGCTAATGATGCTCGAATAATTATCAACATCCTAATGACAGATACGATCATTATCATCACCATTGTTAGCAACAATTAAAATCATTAAAATCGAAATGGATGTTATCATCATCATCATCATCACGATCATCTAAAGCAACATTAAAAATAGCTTACTGCCACAACACGTTGAAAAAGCGGTTCCCTTACGATCACCGAAGTTAAGCCACCTCGAGCCTGGGCAGTACCTAGATGGGTGACCAATTGGGAATACCAAGTGCTGTGGATGTGCAGGTGGTGTAGTGGGTAATAGTTCAGAATTGTTAACCGCAGTGACAATTTCTAATTCCAGCTGGGTTCATTATATTAACTTACACGCAAATATCCCTGGGAAAGATATGAATTCATGTATTCCCCCCCCACCTTGTGTTAATTAGTAAGATTTGTAACACTAAAAAACTTTCTTGCCATCTAAAAGTATTTTTTGGCTCTAAAATAACCTTCAAAGGGTTGATAAACCGTAATAAACGAATCAATCATTAAAAATAAATCAACATCATCAGCATGCTAATGTATATTACAAGCATCACCCTCAGATTGATCATCAACCTTCACCAACAGTAAATAATCATCATCTCTAACAATTTAATGGTGGATACGATAATCATGACCTTTGTCGCTATGAAAATGAAATAAGTATCACTATCCTCAACATCGTAATGGGTTTTAAGACAATCACCATCATCCTAAGCATCACCCAAATGAAACAAACATCACAATCACCAACATCGTAAAGGATGCTATGACCATCATCAAACTAGACATTCTTCTTCTTATATGTACCATCATCCTTCAAGAAGTGGCGTTCATGATTCCCCATAGATTCCTATTATTTCTGTCATTTCTCTCCTCGATTTCCTACTTCTGATCAATGTTTTCCTTTACTCTCCCTACTGGGACACTTCTTTCATCTATTTGCATCAGCTTAGATTGCACCATGCTTGTCTCAATATCACCTGTGAGTGTCATATTCTCCAAGTCATATTTCCTCATTATGTGTCCGAGAAATTTCAACAATCTCTTTTTGATTGTAACATTTGTTCTCGCATGATTCGTTGTTCACGTGTTTCGCCCATGATTTTGTCAGTATCCCGTTGGTGAACGACATCACCCTTGCCTCACGTCTCCTTTTCACCTTTGTGCAATTTGTCGTGTATTCACTGCCATACCAGGAGGATTGATATTACATATTTATCAGACGTTTAACAAACTTTTTCTTTGTTTCTAACCGTTTTTTCCTGTTTCTGAATACTTTGTTTAGCTTTTGAAAGGCATCTTTTTGGAGGGCATTTTGGAAGGCATCTTTTGGAGGGCATTTTGGAAGGCATCTTTTGGAGGGCATTTTGGAAGGCATCTTTTGGACGACATTTTGGAAGGCATCTTTTGGAGGGCATTTTGGAAGGCATCTTTTGGAGGGCATTTTGGAAGGCATCTTTTGGAGGGCATTTTGGAAGGCATCTGTCGCTATTCCAGTGCGACTTGCTATTTTCTTTGTCACATTTTCAGTCGCCTGCCAAAACTCTTCTGAAATAATTAAATGCAAAAAAGAAATAATCGTCACCATCAACAATATCATGAAGGATTCTGCGATCATTATCATCATCATCACCACCATCATCATCATCATCTCCCTCATCGTAATCGCCATCATCATCATCGTCATCATCATCGTCGCCATCATCATCATCATTGTTGTCATCATCATCGTCGTCATCATCATCATCGTTGTCATCATCATCGTCGTCATCATCATCATCGTTGTCATCATCATCGTTGTCATCATCATTGTCACTATCATCATAATCACCACCACCATCATAAGCATTACAAAAATAAAGACGTCATGACTCACCTCATCGTCATTTCCACTCATTAATTAATGAAGATGAATTCAAAATTCATCCCATTGCATTATCACCGTCAAGATGGTCACTTTATAATCAAAATTAAAACTACCATGTCTAACATCCAATCGTTCTCATCCGCATACCTTTTTTAACTAATGTTCACCAAATACAAGGCTCAGAAGCCCCTCAAGGCAGAGGGTTACTGAATAATGATGTATGAGCGTAGGAGTATGAGGTCAGAAGCGCATTTTATGAGGATATGTAGGATAGATAACGGTTAAATCTAGAATTGAAGAGGTTGAGATTGGAGTGACCGGGAAAGAATCCTCTTGGGAGTCTGTTCCACAAAGTCACGCTTCTTGGGAAGAAACACTTCTTCTTACAAATGGAATACGAAGGGAATGAGAATGATTCGTCTTAGAGTAAATGATATGACGTGTCTTAGCTGTGACGGTTAGAACTGATGGAACTATAGAATGTAGCTCTTCAGAACATTTGCCCTGGAAATAGCGATAGAATAGCAAGAGGCTTGTGACGTTTTGTCTGTCAGAAAATGGAAAATAATTAGCCGCCCACAAGTCAACGTAGACGCTTTTGAATTTTATCAAGACGGGCAAGTGAGGACTGGACAGCTCTAATATGGCAGCAATACTGTATATTTAGTTTCATCTGGTTTTTGTTAAAGTAGAACATATCAGTAGGAACCAAGTACTTACTGGATATATGCGAGTCCCGATAAGAGCAAGTGCCCAACAATGGGTATTTCTGAGAGAACATTCATACATCATAATAGGTGAAAGTTCGGAGTCTGCTCGGTGATGTTGGAAGGTTACTAGTTTGATTTTGGAGGTAATGAATGCAACGGGCTAGCTCCACCCGACAACCACCACCACTGAGACACAAGAACAAATATTAAAATAAAGATAAAAAAAAGTAAAAAAAAAGGTACATATTTAGGAATAATAATTTTGTATTTTTTCATACTTCATTCCTGTTTTTTATTTTAGTAGTTTTAGTTTATTTTATAAGAGTCTGTCTTTCTTTCCTTCTTTCTTTTTTCTGGGAATTTCCTTCATTTTCTCTAACAGTTTTCCTTTTTATTCTCTAGACTAAATATTCCTTTCTTTATATCTGTTTTTCTGTCATTGTTTCTTTCATCTTTGCTTTCATTTTCTAAAAAGGGTTTTTCCTATTTTTCTAAAAAAAATATTCTTTCTATTCACAAGATTCCTTACTTTCTTTAATTTGTTCATCTCCTGGAAATTGCGTTCAAACAAACTCTCACCAGTCGGGGTTGACATCATTTTCAACACTTCTTATATTTAGACACGCTACATCCGGGATATTGAGTTATTTTACTCATTAGATATAGCATACCATAAACAATATTTTATCATATACATATATACATATCATATATATATGTGTGTGTATATGTGTGTGTTTGTACATATATATATATATATATATATATATATATATATATATATATATATATATGAAATGCCATATGGAAATTATTTTACATAATAAGACATATTGGTAGAACCTTGACAAATTCAATCAGTACAACGCTGAGAAGAACTTACCATCCAGAGAGTGCTGAGAAGACCTGCAGAAAACTCTCCGATCTCAACAGATGAAAAACTACAAGCAACGTGAACAGAATTTACAAGACCCACCAGGCACTGTACAGAACAACTTTCTTTGTCGCGTCTGCAATAAGCATTGCAAGTCACTTAGTTTCAAGAGCGACTTTCGTTTCCATGAGAACTACTACCATGAATCAAACTTTACCAACAACAGTCATTCTTGCTTAACTAGTCGACAGCCATCATGTATTATATAGTTTGTATATTGTTTTTATATGTTTCTCAATATATTTTTGCATGTATTATTTGATATGCTTGCATATGGTGATATACGTATATGTTGATATGCGCATATGTAAGACTTCGAGACGAAAAGTTTCGTACACAAAAAATGGTATGGAAATGTAAGATTGTTAGAAACATAACAAAAAAAAATGTTATTTTCTTATTCGGTTATAAAAATGCTTTCTCCTCCAAAATATTTGTTCTATTCCTACCCGCCAGTTAAATATTTCCTTTGACTGCCGACTGACATTCGTCTACAAGGAACTCAAAAATTAAAGAAAACCTCGCCATAAGGAAAACAGCGAAGAAGTGGATGAGGTGTCTTGTTGGAAGACATTTTGTTAGAAACGTGCTTTCAATAAATAACTCCTTCATTTCTTGAAATTTAGAAAATAAAATATTGGTTTCTATTTACATTTTAAATATCGTAAGAAACAGGATTTTAGTTTTCTCCAAGAAACGGCTTTAGTTCATAATGTTTATATTTTTAAATTACGGAAAATAAAAAAACAAAAAAAACAAAAAAACTTCAACTTCAGTTTATTCACTATCTAAGGAACATGTAGCAGAATCATTTTTTGGTTTCCATTTTAGTCAACTCGTAGAGGCAGCATAATTTTTTTTTGTTTTGTTTACGGAAGGATACTGAAAATTTCATGGACGGAGCGAGGAAGCAACAATGAGAAAATGGCAACAGAAGCAGAATCAGGAAAAAAAGCTGAAATTCCTTGGACATAAAGAGGAAGTAGGGCTTGTAAAAATTAACCCTCACTGACCATATTGAGGCTAAGAGAGATAGATAGAATGTTGGGGAGGGCAATGATCGCCTATGTTCCAAAGTGACACAACACATAGAAGTGCCAGAACAGGCAACACTTCGATTATCTATATATATAAAACAGAGGATGTCTCTGAGTATGTCTGTCTGTCCGTGTGATATCTTTTCACTCGAGATCCACCCAACCGATTTTGACCAAACTTGGAATATGCATTGTACAATGTAAGAGATAGGATCTTAGCGTAAAAATCGATAATTAAAAAAAATCAATAAAGCCGATCAAAATCGATAAATACAACTTTTTTCCTCCAATTTCGTTCAAACTCTGTATGTAGGTTACTTACATCATGACGAGCTCAACGATATCTCATTTTTTTATTTCTACGCCGCTGCGTTTAGCGAAAAACCGCAAAAAACGAAAAATCGATTTCAATACAAATTTTAAACTAAAAACTCCCTCAATTTTCAAGCAATCTAATATAAACTTCAATCAATTGTAGCCAACAATATGTTGAGTGTTTAACAGTCATTTAATTTGATGATTGAGTTCACCCATTTCGTGAAAACACGTATAAATAGCGAAAAATGGCGATTTTTACTGGTTTGTTTCTTACTTTTCATTGATCTTTCTGCCATTGATTTATATATGTATTCTCTTTTATATCCCTGGTAGCACACTGACAAATTGAATTTCAAAAACTCCAAAATAATTGTGGTCTGAA